GGGGGGGGGGTCTAAATTAGAAATTAAGTGGTGGCAGTTCAGGTTTACTTAACTGCCAGAGCAAGAATGACCTCCTTAGAAATACACGAATAAAATTATTTTTCTCTCCCACGTTCTCCGCATTTTCAAGTCAAAGAGAAAAACGTTTTCGGAATGTGAATGAAGTCGTAAACTACAAGAGCGAGTATTTCGAGGAAAAATTTACGAATTTTATTTTTCAAGAAAGGTTATAGTGAAACAACAAAAGTAATACGATAAAAAGTCACTAATGAAAGGTGGAATTGGTTTGAAAAGTAAATTATGCTTTCATCATGTAGACTTTGTAAATGAGTGAAATATAATGGAAATAAATTGAATAAGGAAAAATTGTGTATACTCATTAGGTGCATATTGGAATATCAATTAAGAATGCTCGAACTGAAGTACGCAATAGTTTTCGTATTTCACCTGTGATAAGGTGGAAGATAGGTATTACAAATTAAGCTTGACCAGTAGGAAAGCTATAAGAATGAATTTCAATTAATTTAAATGCCACCAGGCAAGCGAATGTATGAGTACTACTCACACAAATGCTCCCCATTGGTAACGCGTTCACTCAATAAAGAGGAGATCTTCGAATATATTTATTTTTTATCAAATGGCAGGCATTTTGATAATTATCATTAGTCCTTTAGTTGACTTCAGGATTCACAGAGGGGAATGAACACAAAAAATGAAAAAAAGTTGAGAGGATGGGGGGACAGAAGAGTGTTTCAATGATGTAGAAAAGACAGACACAAAGGTAGAAAAAAGATGAGGTGTGTACAGTGAAGTAGTCGAATATGACATACAATGGGGTAATGGTAGTTTGAAGTGAGAAGTCAACTACCGGTTAATAGACTTTTTTGCTGTATGAGTATACGTTGCCGAGGGCGCACCACGTGGAGGTAAGTCCTTCGAGCACCCCTCTTTGAGAATATAAACCCCCGGTTTCATGGTCGTTGCTATCTTGGATGTCGTAGATTTAGTGAAGGATTGTCTTTGATGCAAATTTACTTTGTGCCCAAGCATATCCTTAGTACATCGTTAGAATAGTTCACCATTTGACTTCTAAATCAATTAATTAGATTATTGATTTATGTTTATCTTAAACTGCTAATGCACTTTTTCTTGATTAAAACTGTAAGCCTCTGAATACCATGTAAAATCATTTTACCATCTATGCAATATGATGAAAAAACTATTTTAAGTGACTAGCGTCGTAACATGAGAATACTACTAACCCAAAACTGTTTATATTTAATATTTAACCCGATTAATATCGTTGATAGTACTCTTTAAATTCGCAAACGAAAATATTCCAGAGCTTCGAGTGCTCCAAATCACCTGGTTTCCTTAAATAGACGTGCCTCTCTGTTTAATGTCATTTAAATGAATGAGATTTTCAATCGCTGAACCATTTTCCCCAATTTTCATATAATTAATATCAATTAATTAATAGATATTAATAGACTAAATTGAGGTACAGTGGGTTTTTTAATGTGCTCGATCCACTAGCAATCATTTCGAAATACAAATCTTACTTATAGTAAAGGTGGGAGATATGAATTGATGCATACAAGAAAATGTTAAATGTTGTGTATTTTAAGGTAGCCAAGAAAAAAATTAATGAAATAACAACAGTATTAAGAATTGATTCGATCAAATAATTTCTCGTCCAATTAAGAAACACGGTCGGTGCAAATATGTTATTGAATGAGTATAGTAATTAGAAATAATAATGAGAGCCAATGGGAGAGAGCTGATTTATAGAGCGCAGTGATTCATGCATTCCTGCATATTTTCAAACCGATTGTTGTTACCTCCACAACCATGGAAGTAGAAGGCGCGGCAGGTGTTCGAGCGCTCATCGTAGTAGTAACGGATCAAAGGATTTTTCACTAGACATCCACCAGCATCAACACTCTCCTTACATTCCCTCGGTACCATTGTTGTGTCGTATTCTACAGAAAAACAAATGCAGTTTCTTGAAGCAAGGTCAGTAAGCATTTGCGCTTCCTCACTAAAGTTATCTTGGAAGAGCAAATATTAATGAAATTACAATTTTTTTTTTAAGAATTAACACGTATATATCGGAAAAAAAGAAATTATTGTCGTTATTAGGCTACGTAGTTGTCATTACTCATTTTAATCAGAGAGTGAATGGAAAAGTCGCCTCCCACCNNNCCCCCCCCCCCCCCCCCCCCCCCCCCCCCCCTTACCCCTATAATGCCTTCTGAGCCTTAAAAATGATTAAGAGCGTGTAAGGGCATATTCACACTATGAATTTACTGAAATGAGATAAGTAATATCTATTTATATGATTATAGAATTCTTGCAGAACTATCACTATTGTAATTTCTTACACTTGTCCCTACACGTTAAGACAGAGTGGTTCAATGCAAAGTACCCACACAAACAGGGAGGAACTGTCCCACAGAACTTCAGCACATAGGTTCCACAATTGAGGTCTCTTGGTCATCATCCGTGCGTGCTCACTAACTTTTACCACCAGCGTTTCACATATTGAGGATCAGGGGAATTATGAGATTCCAAAAAATTACTCACTACCTGTCGGTTCCCATTAAAAATACAATACAAAATGCTTACAACTTTCATTAATTCACTCGTCAATAAATTAGGATTGTTCACATAAACAGGTCACTTGAATTTTTCTAGTAACTCTGGCTACTCAAAGACATAGTTCCACTCCACTTCATATCACTTACTTTTGGGATTCGAAACACCAATAGGGACTTATTTACTTGCTCCATTTTAAAAGTCATTAGACTTAAACAGAAAGAATAGAAATATTGACCTCAAATCTTTCATTTTTGAACACTGAAACACTGGTGCTTTTAAATATTCTTCTAAATTTTGTTCCTCCATGTTTGAATCATTCAGTAATCAAAAAAGTTAGGGCATTCCTTTCCTCTGCGAATTGAGATTATGAAAATCTACAAATCGCGCCATTTACAAAATTAGTTTAAAAAACGGCTTTCTAACATGCCACCATCCTGATTTGATTATTTTGAATTTTGCATTGCCCAATAGATATTTACAGACAATTTTTTTAAAAAAACTTATGACCCCAGTGCAAATGAATGTAATCTTCAAGATAGAACCTATTAATTTTACTGAATAAAGAAAAATATTAGCCTTATATCTCCAAAATATCCTACTTCCCTTTCATTAATTCAAAAATCTCACAACAACTGCCTATTACAGCCACATAGTGTGCATGGCGTTTGATACTCCATTACTTTTATTGAAAAGGGGTGTGCGATAGACTCACCTCCACGTGGTGCACCCTGGGCAACGTATACTCATACGGCAAAAAAGTCCATTAACTGGCAGTTGACTTCTCACTTCAAACTACCATGACCCCACTGTATGTCAAATTCGACCACTTCCACAGTACTCATTTTACCTTTTTCTCTACCTTTGTGTCTGCCTCTTTTACATCTTTAAACCACTCTTCCGTTCCTCCCTATCGATTTTTTTCAATTTGATGTTCCTCCTCCCCTCTATGAAGCCCGTAGTCAACTAAAGGGCTAATGATACCTATCAAAACGCCTGCCATTTGATATAAATAAATAAATAATAATAGTTACTCATCGAAATTACCTGGAGGTATGATGGCCCTACGTGCTCTGCACACGGGTTGATCAGGAGGACATTCAGTTTCTATATCCTTTCCACGACTCTTCGCATACTCTTTGCAGAGCTCATCCCCCCTCAACATGCACTGGCTACCCGGATATCCGCATTTGGCGTTCTATGAAAAATAAAAAAAAAATTGGACTCATTTAAACAAGCACATTGTTGAGTAAATAGTTATGTACACTGAAGTGGGAAAAAATTTATTCAAATGGGTTTCGGTATTTTGGTAAGATAAGGGCGACGGACTTTGTACTATTTTTAAACTAAAAAAAACAGCCCCCCCCCCACCTTACCTGACAAAGATCGCGGTGGTCAAAGACACAAAGAGATTCGCAATTAGCTCTCGAGTAGAATCGATTGGCATTGCCACCATGGCCAGCGTAGGAGAACCACAAACACCGACCGCTGGTGGGTGAATAGAACCAGGCCGATCGTTCCTCAGGTCCGACACCCCACTTAGGTGGAAGGCGACAAGCTGGATGGGAAGGGTAGAAACCAAGCCTATCCATATCTCTTGTCGGCCAGTGGGGAACGCTCAACTGCACTTGATTGGCTCGTTCAAAAGCGCTGCGCTCAGCTTCAGCCTCTGCAGATGCTTTATCCCCTGCAGGATTCGAGGGAAATTCGTTAACTCCGGGTAGTGGATAAACTTGAGGGGTGGGTTGAGGTGGAGCTTGCATGGAAATTGGGTCTTCGTTAGTGCTCCATGAGCCTGGAGATCCAGTAGGACAGTTTATCGGTCCTAAATAGTGAAATAAGTAATAATGCTACCAAATGTTTCAACAAATTAGATGCAGGTTCTCTAATGGGGCTTATGACAACCACTATTGATAGCACTGTCTCGAACAGAACATTTTATGAAGTTATTATAGTACGTGTTATTTAAATGTTACAACAAAGGCGTTTTCAAGCAAACAGAGGGAAAAAGTTAAAGTGGCTTTCAAACAAGGAAGTTTCCTTTTAAGTGGTTTATTGGTGTTCTGGGCTTGTGCTGACCCAGATATTGTGACGCGATTAGATTCCCGCGTTAAATTTGAATGCAAATGGTCCAATGATTGCAACAAATTTTGTTTTTTATCGCGGTGATGCATCCAACCCTGGGAGGTTATATCTTAAGGGATCGATTTCCAATGAGGGAATAACCAACCACACTGATGACAAAATTCGAGTTTGCTAATAGGAAGACTTTGGAAAGCTATTCACAGACCAAAGATGGAAAAAATGCTTTGAAGTTAAAAAGTATTGTTGCTTAATATAGCCACTAGCCTTGAGAATTGTTCAGAAATTAAAAAAAAGTTTCCCACTTTCCTTATTTGATGTTTTAATGTAAATGTGTTATTTAGATAAAATATTTTTGTAAGAAATATATATTTGCGAAATATCCTCCACAACAATTAGAAGGCGAAGAACTCAAATCATTCAGAATTCAATCAAATTGAATTAATTATCGATAAAAAATCTGCCAAAAGTAGTATTAATGATTTTTCAAGAAAAAATTTAAATTTAAGAGATCTAAAACTCATAGTTTATCTGGAGGTTGCGTTAATTCAAAATCTTGCTCTCGATTTAAGCTTATCGAAGTAAATAGCAGATACGTCGTTGTAAATATCTTTATGCTAAAGTAGATAGCACATTTTATAATCTACCCAAATCTCATTGGTATTAGTGATGTCACTATTACAAATAATAATAATAATAATCAAGTCTTAGTTTAATTATAATTTTTATTCCTTTTAATTTTCAGAATTTATGAACATTTTCTCTCTGTACCTAAACTTTTAGCTCTCATTCAAAAAAAACGGAAGTTCGGGAAGCATTTGCTGAACTTACGACCCATAGAGTCAAACGAGCATCCGGCCCAATTGTCTAGACGTTCACTTCCAGAATCTCGTCTGTAAGTGTTTTGGCTTTCATACATTTTTTTGCGTCTCTCCTCTTCTCTCCAATATTCATCAACCTGATTCATTCGATTATGATAGGAGTTGGTTGTGGTGTCCTGTGGCTTTTCATAGCTGTCGTAGCCTGTCTGGGTCTGTCTTGTATATGGATCATTGGAAGAGTCCGGCTGATAAACCAGTCTATTGTCATAGCTACGGTGATTTTCTCCTCCATAGGGATCAGTATCAACCTCTCTTGGATCAGGAGTAATGGAATCGATTACTCGAACTGGTTGAGAATGCTCACTTTCATAGTAATCGGCCTCGTTTTCTCTATTATCATCGAAAGTGACTTCTTGGTCATTCTCATTAATCTGTCGTCGTTGGGGATCGTAGTACTGCGATCTATCATCTACCCTCTCTTCAGGTAGTGTCTCGGAGACACTTTCATTGTCATTTACTCCAGTTCGTCTATCATCATTGTCCCTATTGAGATTCTGAGAGTAGTTATGACTGTAATCGGGATTTTGATCACGGTCTTGAGTGTAGGTGTAATTGTTGTCATCTGAGTATTGCGTCCGACTACTGCCCTCCTGGGGATTCGATTCATAATTGTATCTAATGTCCTGAGTCCTTTCGCGCTCTGAATAACCATAGTATAGAGATGGATTAGTGGTTTGGGAATATTCCTCATCTTCCCTACGTTTATTTTGGCTGTAATTCTCATTGCTTCCTCCTTGTTGTGAGGAAGGTAATCCATAATTGTATCTAAAAGAATCATCATGACTACTACTGTAGCTGGTATGTTCAGGACGTCTGTATGGTTCTTGAGGATACTGGTTTTGATTTTGAGGATAGGAATAATTATAAGAGGATTCATAGTTCTGTGTTCGATCATAGTCACTTTCAGGACGTCTATGACTATAGTAGTCACGGTTATCGGACCTTTCAGCATCAGAACTTCCTTGTGGATACGATTCGGACCAGTCAGAGGTTCTACTAGAATCAAGTGAATAAGTCATGTTGTAGAGGGTTCTATTGTACTCATAGGAACTAGGAGTATCATTGTATTGATATGCGTAATTGACTGGTGGATTGTATGTGTAAGAAGGCTCCTGCCATTCGCGTTGAGGTTGACCGAAGGCATTTTCGCCGTTATTATAGGTGTCTATTATGACCTCCTCCAGTGGTGTTGCTTTAGCAGGATCATAGATGTTGAAATCGTGTTTCTCCATTTCCGAACTAGATTCATCTGTTTCCTCATCTGGGTACAAATTAAAACAATTTTGAGATTGTGCCGATGGAAACAATTTGATCAGTTTTATTAAACATACCATAATCATCGTCGTAATCATCATCGTTCGAATCTGCAGACTGCAGATAGGTAGGCGCGAATTTAAGTTCCACATCCTTCTGTTTCTCTGCTTGAAGGAAAAACATAATAGTATAGTTAAATGTCGAGAAAAATGAAATCTCAGTTAAATTTTACCTTCGGTTTATTAACGGTTTACCCCCAGAACAAAGTGAATTCAGAATGGAGTCCCTTTAATAGTTCTTGAAAAATAATTTTACTCAGGTTCTTCCTAATCGAATACCGTTCCCTAAGAAAGACGCATTTCGTGACAGAGCCACAGAACCAACCACATAATTTCCGTGTCATAATCTTATGAATTAAATTTGCGAGTTCTATTGTATTTTCTGTTTCTTTGTTCGTTCCCCGACATAATGGGCCTTGGAGTGTACAACGCGATTCGGACCAATCAACATAACCCCCCCTGCTCTAGAATATTCTGGAAAGTGCGTCCATGCGATCGTTCGCGCATCGACCAAACGCGTCCAAGCGTACAGAGGCCTTCTCAACTAGTCAGTTCTTAAAAATCAATAAAGTTTCCATTCAAAGTATTCTTTCTCCCATCGTGTCTGCAGTTGCCCATAATTTGTGATAGACATTTCGCCCTCCATGCACGCTGTTTCCCCGTTTATTTTACCGTTGTTTGGTTAACTTCAGGAGCCATTCTTAACGAGAGCCTATGCAGTATCAACGACAGTTCTTTGTTGACCCAGGTGTCTTAATTTACACAACCCCATTGATCCACTTGCTATTATTCTTGGAATAAGTTGTAAAAATCGATAATACCTTGTTCTGATAAGTTGATTTACTACATTATTAACCAAGTGAACTAATTAGGGTAAGGTGTTAATTAAAATGCCCAATTGCCATAAGTTGGTGGTATAAAAGCGAGTACAACTTGAATTAATATTTTGAAGTAACATTTTAATATTGCAATAAAAAGTTCGAATAATGCTTACTTGATGTGGTTAGTAGAGAATTGGCCGTCAGAACGATGGATAGAAGCTGGAAAAAAGATAAAGAAATAAACTTTCTCTCCTAATAAAACACATGCACATCAATTATTCCATCATTTCAGTGACAAGTCAGACAGGGTATGAAAAGCAAATTAATTTAAAAAGGTGCTAATAAGTATGTTTTAACCGGAATGCTTTTCAAATGCAAACAAGATTCGTCTACAGAAAAGGAAGGAACTGATACTGATTAGTGGGCTTTGGAAAATCCATTAAAACATTGCATAATGCTTTCCTTTTGAATTCATGTTGATGCATTATCGATTTTTATGCTAGTTTTCTAAAAAAAATTGGTAGCCTTCTACGATATTTATATTAAGACAGCATTGACTATCTATTGTATATAAAATCGACAAGATGGATATCATTTATCTCTAGTCGTCACTCAGTGCAACTAAAAGAACTCAAATGCACTTTTTTCCATGGTAATTATGCAATATATTTAATAAAAATATTTAAAATAATTTTCATAAAGTTTGAATAAAGATTGGTTGGAAATTTAGCGCAGTAAATTGTGTTCATGAACCAAAAGTTGGCCAATGTCAAACCAAGATTTTAATGAAATTACTTTGCCAGTTCGAGTTCAACTTTACTTCCTCTTTATTAATCTCGGAAGAAGTTTTCATGCATATATTTACTCACGGATAATTTGCAAGGTTATACAAAAGAGAACATTAATTATGATCAGAATGCATCGAACCACTGAACTGGGCGATCGATTGTACATACAACTAGCCGATTTGACTCAAAATTACAATCACTACAATTGGTAGTGCGACCTATTTTGAGACCTGGGGTATGGAATAGACTTACCTCCTCGTGGTGCACCCTGGGCAACGTATACTCATACGCAAAAAAGTCTATTAACAGGCAGTTGACTTCTTACTTCAAACTACCATGACCCCACTGTATGTCATATTCGACCCATACACAGTTTCTTTTATATCTGAGAATCACTCTTCTGTTCCCCCTCCCGAATTCTTCTCAATTTGATGTTCCTCCTCCCCCCCTCTGTGAAGCGCGAAGTCAACTAAAGGGCTAATGATAACTATCAAAACGCCGGCGAAGTCAGCTAAATGGCTAATGATAACTATCAAAACGCCTCCCTAAAGGGCTAATGATAACTATCAAAACGCCTGTCATTTGTTATGAATAAAAATATTAATTAATTTTAAGACCTCAGACCAGAGATTTTTAGTTCTTTCAAAATTGGCCAATCTCTTCGCAATGAATCAGTTTCCTACAATTGTACATGCAAATACAAACGGAAGTAAATAAATGTTTATTTCTCGCAGGGGAATTATTGATTTTAATAGAAAGTACTCATTTGATAATCCAATTATTTGCTGAATTCAGTTGCGTGCTGAACAACACATAGTCACATATGGGAATGAATAGGCTTCACATGTTTATTGATAAGTGCAAAATCAGCGAAGAATAAAAATGGAAGCTTTAAAATAAATGAAAATAGGAAACAAACGGAATAATGCAAGTTATTTTAAAACTATTAAATGCGACTGATCGCTTTTCGACTGAATTAACAAACGCGTAGAATGAATGCAAAACGAAAATCGTCAAAACAAAGTTTTGGGTGTACTTAAAATTCTTCCATAGGGCCGACAAACTTCCAGCTTCAAGAAATCATAACTTAGAAGTCGAAGGAGTGAATGAGTAGGGAAAACTTGTAAATAATCTGAAAACGAACGTGACGCTAAGGCGCTTGTTTGGGAACATTTTAAAAATCCACAAACTGATATGCCATGAGTTCTGCATTCAAGACATGATCCACACAACACTCAAAAGGAGTAATTGCCTCAGTATGGCAAGAGACAATCCATTCTCATCTTAAACCCACCCAAGATTCATTGAATAAAATATAACTTTTAAAAATTATATGCAATACAAAAACAGCATTCTACGATTTGAAATGGTAAACGAATCGATTGATTGATTGATTGATTGTCCATCGAAGCAAGTATATCTGCTCGTAAAAATTAATTCTTTATGATCAAAAACGAATTCAACTCACCACAATCAAAATCGGCTTCAACATTTTCTTTATTGGTGTTCTAAAAGCGCAAAGAGTAGGGTGTGAGGTTAGAGTATCTCTGTAACAAACTTATTCAATTAGTTAGTTAGTCAAGTTTCCATAGGTTGTTAATTGAGTTAAAGCCTTCATTTGCAAACTTGATCCATATATTACCAATAGGAGGCAAAAGCCTAAACTAACTTATATTAATTTTTCGGCTGAGTCATTAGCAGCCCCAAAAACTGACAGAAGGTCATGATTTTTTTGCCCGACGACCTTAACCGCTTAAGGACACACAACTTGACAACTTGACCCAAATTAAATCAATTAAAAACACAACGCTGAAAATTGCTGAGGGGCAAACTTTAGATAACTCGGCCTAATAGGTCTAGACAAGTATTTTTTTAGCATTAAAAGAACGAAAATGACGGTTTCATGTTTCACTTTATTGTACTTCGTTGGAAAGACTGACCATTGTAATAGATTTATTGATCAATCAATATTGGATATCATGGAGAAGAATTTGCGTAATTTTAAAGGAGATAATTAGTTATCGTCAATTTTTTGTGGGAAATTACCCATTATGTGTGTGTATCAGGACGCAAATCCAAAAATTGGATGGAATAATATTATGTTGATACTCAGATCATATTCTCATCATCTTCCTGTTCCCAGCCACTTTGCTTCATTTGAGCAAAATTTCCGGTATGGAATTGATAATTTGTTTTATAAGTTTTTTTCTGTTAATATAATAAGATAAAAATATTAGATAATACTGAAGACTTTCATCAGAAGTAAAATAAATTGTCAGAAATTCGAAAAAATGGGGACTGACAACGAAAAAAATGGAGTGGACAGATGTGAAAAGAGCGGTTTCTATATCCTTGTATACTACGTAGTTCTTATTCAAAATAACAAATTTAAAAATAGATAAATTTGGAATTATATTGAACCCCTCCCCCAGTATCTGTTTCCAGTCTCAAAGGTGGTCAGTTTATTTGACCAAATGGTATTTCGGTTTCAATAATTGAAAGCAAGGTATTGCAGCAATTTTAGGAAATTTTAATATGTTTTAGAGTAAATTATACCTTCCATTAGGTTCCATACTTAGGAAATTTGCGCCATTTGTTTTCTTTAAGAATGATCCTAAAATGTCTACGCCTATACTGACTTTCGTGAGCACTAAATTGACCTCCAAACAATTAGATATCACAATAAAGCACAATTCTGCTGAATCAACTGTTCAGGACTCCCTAATGCTTGAATTTTTCGATCACAGCTAGGATAAGATAGTGATTTAACTGTCATGAATAGTGCATTTTTTAACATTTTAAAAATAGTACTAAAAATCTTATTCAAATGTTGTCATGTTCTTGATTGGCTTAATACAAAGAATTCTGCACATTTTGATAGGTGCACTAGAAAGGGCATTTTTCACCTGTCTTAACAACTTCCAGAAAAGGTAAATAATTTTGCATTTTAAATATTTCATTAAGTCTTTGCATATAATAGAAGATCTGAAATTACTTCTCAAAATCCAAAACGAACCATTTTTAATTTCAAAATCAAATGCAATGCAAATTTTTTTGACAGTAAATAAAAACAGGCGAATAGACTATGAATCACACGAAATACTGCCACTCAACTTCTTAAATTCTTAAATAAAAAGACAAGGTTCTCTGTGATTTACTCCTAGACTCCAACCCCCTACCGCCCCCCCCCCCTCCCCTTCAAAACGGGACGTTCCTTTCGTACCCCTTCAGACTTTAGGCACCATGCATGATGGGTAGTACAATTGTTACCTTAAAATCACAATGAACGTCATTTTTGACTCCCAAAAAGTCACTTATAAACTTTTGCAAATTACTAGGTCACTTTAACTGTTTTCCTTTTGGGGAAAATTGATCAGATTTGACTGATTAATTAAGTGGTCGCGCAATTAAGTGGTCAATAAGTAGTTACGAAAAGTGGTATCAAAACTATTCAAAATTGGGAAAAAAATAGAGAATAGCGATTACGACTTACCTTAAACAAATTACCGTGGAAA